TATCTTGCTTGCGATTCTAAATTCTGGGCAATTGTTTTCTTGTCCTTTGAAAGATTACTACTGATTGCTTCCAGATCAGGATAGGAACTCTTACTTCGCTGATAGTCGTGACAATAGGGGCGGTGAATAATGACTCTGGAGGTGGTTGATACCAGTTTTTGTGAGCTGGAGTAAAGTCGACGTTTGTTAAGTGTCCGGTGACACATGTCATGGTAACAGAGCAATTGCCCAATTGACGACCAAAGTCGAAATCGAATGAGTAGTTCTTGATATACTTGTTCCTTGTATTGTTCTATCAATTCGTTAGCAAAGTGTTCTTGTTGTTGCGTGTTGAGTGTTTTCTACCGTTTCAATACGGCCTCCAGAGAGATGTGTAGCCACAGCTTTGGATATAGAGGGCTTCTCAGCCACACAAAGGACTCTCATCTTGGAGGAACACAAGCCTTTGCGACTGTTTTATATCTCTGATGCAATTTTCCCAGGAGCCGTGGTGATTAAGGTACAAAATGCGAGTGGAGAGTTGCCTCAGGCTGCCCGGGAGTGCAGACGAAGTTTTGCGTTGAGGCAAGCACGATCGATGTGATGTGCATAACAAACACGGTCAAAACTAGGCGCGTTCGTAGCAAAAATTGTTTGCTGCCATAGTCTCTCAACAATAAAATTTCAGCAGCTATTAGAATTGTTTGCCAGTTACCATGATAAACTGTTTGCTGAAGCACCTGTAGCCTCGATATTTACGCCAACCCTCTGAGGCTCATTTCTGATATTCACGGACGATGAGGAGGGAAACTTGAGGCAGGGCCAAAGTTTGACGTTGAAAATTAAGTTCTCAGGGATTAAGCCTCTTCAGTGGCTTACAGGCGGATAACCACTAGCCACAGCGGCTGAATCCGTTTAATCTAGGGAAGTGTCACCTAAAAGCTTAGTGGTCCCACAGACAAGGCGGGAACCAGGCAACAGACGGTTTCCACCTGGAATTGACATCTATGACGCTATTGAAGCTGAGCATCGCTATACCCACTAGTAGGTAGGTATTAAACCAGTTGTGCTGCTACATTCATATCGAAGACCCCAAAATCCGAGATCAACCATTGTTTCGTCAAGATCAAGCATCATGTCTCTCCCATTCGTCAAGTCCATTGAGGACTGCGGCGAGTACGCCAAAACAGTGCAACCCTACATTCCCCAGCTCTATGCTCTTCCTCGCCAGATTCTTGACAACATTGCCAGTCCTGATGGGCTGAGGCAGATTTATGTTGATACAAACCCTCTCATCTCAGGCTTTGCCATTTCTATTGCCCTTGGCTTTGTCTTCCTCGTTGTCTCCGAGATCAACAGAAACTACTCTCAAGTTGATCGAATGTGGTCGATTCTCCCAAACTTATACGTCGTCCACCTCTCAGTCTGGGCGCGGCTGGCTGGTATTCCTTCTTCGCGAGTTGACCTTATTGCTGCTGCTACAACCCTTTGGAGTGTATGTGTCCTGACATCTCATTCGTTCAGTCATCGCTAATGCTGCGTAACAGTGCCGCTTGACATACAATTACTGGCGTAAGGGGGGTTACAATAAAGGATCTGAAGATTATCGATGGTAAGTTGATCGTCCACTCATAACTCTTCAGTCAGCTCATACCATGCAGGGCCATTCTCCAGCAATATGTGACCCGATTTGTCTGGTTCCTATTCAACGTCACCTTCATTTCTTTCTACCAGAGCGTTCTGCTCTTCAGCTTCTCGTGCGTGCCTGCGTATGCCATTCTCTGTTCTACCAAGTTTGAGCAAGATGTGACCTCTGCCGATATTGTCTTTGCTCTCATCATGATCGGCCTAGTCTACAGCGAGTGGGTTAGCGATGGTCAGCAGTGGGGTGAGTATTTCGTGTGCTTTGATGTTTAGCAGCCTAACCATTGTATAGACTACCACGCGGCCAAGCATCAGTACCAGTCCGAGGCCAAGGTCCCCAAGAAGTTCATGTACTCCCAAGCGGAGCTTGACCGTGGTTTTAACACTTCTGGTCTCTGGGCTTACAGCAGACATCCCAACTTTGCTGCAGAGCAAATGATTTGGTTTGTGCTGTACCAGTGGAGTTGCTTCGCAACCAAGAATATTTACAGCTACACTTTCGCCGGCGCTGCCGCCTTGATCCTCCTCTTCCAGGGTTCGACTTGGCTCACTGAGCTCATCACGGCTGGCAAGTATACTGAGTATCCCATGTACCAGAAACAGGTTGGCATGTTTTTGCCCAAGTCCCTTACCCCCTACACGACTCCTAGCCCAAAGGTCATTCGGACCAGCGATATTGTTAAAAGGATGGAGAGCAAGAAGCAAGCTTAAGTTTGCACCTAACCACATTGCCTATTATCCTTTAGTCAAGAGCACTGACTGCTGAGTTTTGGTCAGCATGAGGCAGTGTCTAATTTCATCATAGTCTAGATGGAGGTAGGAGTCGGTTGCATAGTTAGTCTATAATCTATATCATGACATGATCTATCGTCTATTGCTTCTCTGCCAGTCTAAGATCACTGAACTTGTCAGCATAATGAGAGGGCACAGCAATGGCATCGGCCTTCTCCCAGTCTTCCTTCTTGTTCACACCAGTCAGGACATGTAGTGTTCCACCCAGTCGTCCTTCGATACCAAATTTGATATCAGTATTAAGTCGGTCACCGACCATGCAAGTTCGAGAACGATCGAGCTGGAACTTTCCCTCAACAGCGTCCATCATAGCTTGACTAGGCTTACCAAGAGCCAAGGGCTGCTTTCCTGTGGCGTGAACAACAGGGATGTGACAAGATCCAGCTCCGAGGAAGAAGTCGTGGTGCATCGGCAATGTTGAATCAACGTTGGTAGCAAGGAAGATAGCTCCTCGCTTGATGTAGTGCATGGCGTGGGCATACTTTAGGTAGTTCACGTGGTAATCAAGACCGCAGAGAACTACTCCGACCTCGGGGTCAAGTAGCGAGCCATCAGCGATACCCTTGAAGTCGTCATTTGTGATATCTCGTCGGAACGCCTCATCTGTGCCTCCAATATGAGGAACACCTTCAGAATCAAGCTCATGCTCAATCCCAGCTTCTCCGATAATGAAGACCTTGCGCTTGTTCTCGGGTAGCTTCAAGATGCGTGCGATGTAGATCGCAGCAGAGTAGCTTGAACCGAACACATCATCCTTCTCGCTAGGGATACCAAGATTGGTGAGTTTCTTCAGGTATTCGTCGCGAGACTTTGTTGAGTTGTTCGTCACGAAAACGGTTCTCTTTCCTGTGCCGATGTCAGCCTCGTTTCAGATCGTGAGGATAGTAAGCCAACCCTTTGATCTTAGATATTTGATGGTCTCAGGGACTCCCTCGTACACATGATCGCCAGACCATAGGACACCTGAATGAGTCAGCTTGTCGTTCAGCTAAGAATAATGGCTATGTACCATCGCAGTCAAGCAGGAAGACCTATTCATCAGGGTCAGTTGAAGCTCGAGAGGTACACGAGTAAATGACTCACGTCGAATTTGTCGATGAACTCGCTAACAACAGCAGCATCTCCGCTGATGTACTTTGGTGACGATGCCATATTGGATGTGAAATGGCCAAACCAAAGGCACGATTAAATGATCGACAATGGGTTCAGTTGGGTTATTCAAGATCGGTCATCAGTCATTATCAACACTGACTCGGCCAATTGCTTAGTCATACCCACTTAGTCGTGGAGTTTCTTGTGGTGTAATTCCTCTAGGCGTGGAAAGCGTGCGGGTCTACTAATAAAGAAGGTTATCACGGTCGATCATGACGATAGTTCCATTATCTGAACTTGGTTAATCTCTGGGGTCTTTTAAGTCAATCAATGTCGAGTAACTGATATAGGGTAGATTGTCATAGAAAGACACAATCATTGTAGTCTCTCTGACTGACTGCTTATCTTGTTGCTATAACTATCGCAAGAGGAGGCAAGAGAACCAAAAACGTCAATAATAATTGGCACAGAGACTTAAGTAAGTTACCTTGTATTGGAAGCTCAAGGTACTCCATCAATATACATTCACATTTTGATATTCTTTCCCAAGGTCTGAAGTCTTTTCTCTATGAAAACCAGAGGCTTATTCATGCAAAGATAACAGCCTTGCATTCTTTACATTTCCGACCTCGCTTTCGAAACACCAAAACCGATTGATTGGTCCAAAGCTACCAAAAGCCGTGAGCCTGTTCCGTGTGGCGACCGAATCTCCAAAATCGAAATCTTTCCAGCAACCATTTCAGTGACCAGATGGCAGAACCGATCTATCATTGGCTTGTCAACTCCGCCCTGAGTAATGGACCACCCTAATCGTCATCGGTGGGTTTTCTAGAATTCCACGTTTTTTAACGGAGACTTTTTTTTTCTGACCTGGAGATAACGGGCTACATCCGTCTTCGGTTTACCTTGCCTTGTGATTTTTTCCCTTCCCTCGCTTGCTCCGAAGCGGCGAGATTAGAGTCTCCTTACTCGTCAGCTGGACTTATGTACAGACCGACAAACGTAACCGAATCCGTGGAATACAACATCCATTCGCCGCTCTGCCCTGGCCTGGTTGCTTCCGTATCAGAGAGTGGCGCCCGTGGACCCTGAGGCTAGGAGACTCTAAGGGTCCCACACCATTTCTGATCGACGACAGGAGTTTCCACTTGGTTCAGAAAGAGAAAGAATTGATAACAGACCCAGATGGATACCTACGTAATTATAAATATCTACAAAACCGTGTCGAGCTGCCATTGTCTTGACTCTTGATTTTAAACTTTTCATCATCTCGTACAATCTGTGCTGTTATTTTGAGCAAACAAGCGTAAAGTATCCTCCAAAACCAGTCACAAGACCTCGTCACGATATCACAGCTATCAGGATATCTATCCCCTGAAAACCTATATAAAGACTGTCTCACACATACATTTTCTTGACCGTACTCGTCACACAAGAATCATCAACACTCCGAGACCCAAACCAATTCACATCTCACTCAAACATCTGACAAAATGAATCCCACCGCGCCAACAACCGCAGCCCCTACATCGGGCAACGCCAACAGCTACTTTAGCATTCACAAGACACAATCCACGGAGACAACCCCTGTGTCAACCCCTGGGTTCAAGAGCGAGGAGTTCGACCAAGCTGGACACAAGCTTCCTGCCCTCAACCGCGAGTTCCCCAAGCCTACAGAGGAACTCGACATCCAAAGCATGCTTGATCGTCAACCTGGCCGATGGACTACTAAGGGGCAAATCGAGGCCAACCAGCGCCGAGCGCAACATGCTCGCAACGAGGAAGAGATCAAGGCTCAGCGTATGCGAGACTTTGAGAAAGCCAAGGAAGAACTCCGTTCTTTATGGCGGTTCTAAGCTACCTGCCCCAAACTCCACCCATGGAGGACTTTAAGGCTGTATCGGCTTACACGTTATGAAAAACCAACAGGCGCATTGCCTTCAGGGCTATACCAAGAGTTCAATGATTTATGACACTACGAATAGACATTAGAGATCGGGATTGTACGATTGATAATACAGGATAGATAGATTAGACGGAGAGGAACATTTGCATTTCTAGCAATTTAGAGTTTCAATACGAATTCATTTTTGAATAGTGCATTGTTCAAGCAAGGTCTGCAACGGACAGAACACGACCACCAAGAGTGAAACCGTAACCAACAGCAGCTGCAAAAGTGATGAGGTTGAACAACGGTGAGATGCCGTGAAGCATGCCAAACTTCTTGTTCAGGGCCTTCATTTGATCACTTTGAGGTCCCTCAGCATACCATTCCTTGCCATCTCGCTTGACTATAGATTATTAGTAGTGTCTCAAATCGACCCCTTGAAGATTGACGCACCTTGGCCTCGTCGCTGCTTCATAACTTCGACCGTCAAAGGCAGGAAGACAAGGAGGTTCACAGCTCCAGTAAAGGCCATTACACTGATAGGTAGCAGGGAGTGCCAGCGGGCAAATTCCGAAACCAAGCCAGCAGGGCCATTTGATAGACCAATCAATGTGTTTCCGGGATATGTTAAAGCTAGAACACCAGGCAAGACAGTCTGGAGGCCGAAGTAGATGGGGAAGAGCTTCTGTTGGATGGCAGAGAAGCTAGGACGGTCGACCGTCCTGAACATAACGATACCATTGATGAAGGTCTACCCGGCTGTTAGATTTGCAACGTTTGTAGCTCTGCGGGATACGTACATGGAAGAAAGTCGTTCCAAGTAGAGTTCCATAGCTACCGTGGGGTTAGCGATGCTTTCCCTGACTGCGATTGACTTCATAAACTCATAGAAACCTACGTGATGATGTGGTAAGGAGCCGGCGAGAAGGCCACTGCCTTTGCTGTGCTTGCCATTGTTGCAATTCTTCACTTGTGAGTGTTTGATGAATTGTATCAGATCCAACTTGCCGAGGCACTGAGGTGTTTCGATAGTCATGATATCACATCTAGTCACGTGATCGTACAAGCTCCATATTGCGTTGCAGTCTCCATGATGGAATGATCTTCATGATTCAAGATGTGTATGTAGTTACTGGAGTTTGCTTTTTTTTTATCATCTGGTACCTACTCTTCTCTTACATTTCTGGTGGCTTAATAGACTCATCCAATAAACGGAGTTTTGTCAGGCATCAGTTGCACGTGATCTCGCGCGTCTTGTCGTGAGAAGGTCGGCAGGAGCTTTGACCCGTCAGACGCGATGGGTCACCAACCTTTTAGTACATCTTGGGGTGGTTCTGCCTAACGATTACAAGGATTCATTGTGAGACGTTTCTTTTTGTTGCCATTCATTTAAAAGCGCGACTGACCTTATGAAGTATCTCTGGCTCTTTTCGGATCCCTTTCATCGTAGCGGGATTTGATTGACTTCAGATTCTTGAACCCCGTCTTTCGTCTTCTGACTTTCTTACCGTATCACCGGGTTTCATACAAACCATCTCCACCATGGCTGAGAAGGAAGCGACCGTTTTCATATTGGACCTTGGGTCAACTATGGCCCAAATTCACAGTGGAAGATCAGAGTCTGATCTGGAATACAGTATGCAATACGTATGGGACAAAATCATAGACATCGTGGCAGCAAACAGGAAAACGCTATGCGTTGGCGTATTGGGTCTGAGAACAGATGAGACTGACAACAAGCTCCAAGACGATGATGGGTATGAGAACATTGCAGTGTTGCAGGAGCTGGGGCCGATGACAATGTCATCTCTGAGGAATCTTCAATCGCTTGTCAAGCCGAGCAATACATGGTCTGGAGATGCTGTTTCAGCCATCGTGTTGGCTGTTGATATGATTGACACATTCACAAAGAAGCTCAAGTGGAACAGAAAAATCTTCTTGGTCACGGACGGCCAGGGTCCAATGGATGCGGATGACTTGGGTGACATTTCTAAGAAGATGAATGATTCCAACATCCAGCTCACTGTCCTGTAAGTGGAATGGATATCTCAACGGCACTTTTAACATGATACAGGGGAGTAGACTTTGATGACTCGGAATATGGCTTTAAGGAAGAGGATAAGCCGAGCACAAAGGTTCGTATGATGGGACATAGTGAGGACCATAGCTAAAAGTTCACAGAAAGAGAATGAGCAAGCCTTGAGATCGCTTGTCAATGACTGTCAAGATGGAGTCTTTGCGAACATTACAGAGGCCATCGACGAGTTAGATACCCCACGTATCAAGGCAGTGAAGCCTTACAAGACTTATGATGGTCCTCTTACCCTCGGAGACCCCAACACATTTCCTGCCGCGTTGAATATCAATGTGGAAAGATATTTCAAGACGAAGCTGGCGCGACCTTTGACTGCAAGCACAGTCGTAGTGAAGTCAGAAGGCGCACCAGATTCTGAACCTACGCAAGTTGATGCTGACGATATGGAGGGAATTGAGTTCTCTGCTGTGAAGCAAGCTCGTTCTTACAAAGTCAATGACCCAGATGCACCAGGAGGAAAACGAGACGTTGAGTTTGATGATCTTGCCAAGGGCTATGAATATGGTCGAACTGCAGTGCATATCAGTGAGTCGGAATACAATATCACCAAGATTGATACACAAAAGAGCTTCTCAATCGTTGGCTTCATTCCATGCTCAAAGGTAAGCCTATTACGGGTTACCCCGTCCTTCTAGTGCTGATGGTTTCCAGTACGAGCCTTTCCTTAACCTTGGCGAGACTTGCGTGACAGTAGCTCGCAAGTTCGATGCCAAATCCGCTCTTGCCCTTTCGTCCCTTGTATGGGCCCTCTCGGAACTTGAGTCTTATGCAATCGCACGAATTGTGACCAAAGACGGCAAAGACCCATCGTTGGTGTTGCTCGCACCCGGCGTGGAGCCAGACATGGAATGCTTGTATGATATTCCACTTCCATTTGCAGAGGACATCCGAAGTTACCAGTTTCCTCCTTTGGATAAGGTGATCACGGTTACTGGCCAAACCCTTACAACCCACCGGCTATTGCCCACAGACGAGCTGAGTGATGCGATGAGCGATTATGTCGATGCAATGGACCTGTCGACATACGGACTAGATGACAAGGGGTATGTTCCATGCTATCTTGGACCTTTCGGCAACTGACTTCCGCAGCGACCAGGATGAATACGTCTCCATTGACGAGACCTTCAACCCTACGGTTCACAGGGTAAATCATGCCGTGAAATCACGAGCACTGCACCCAGACAAACCAGTTCCAGATGTTCCTTCCATCTTGTTGCGATTTTCTCACCCAACTGAAGATCTGATTGAAACAGTTCAGAGGAAGTTGGATGCTCTTGTTGAAGCTGCAGATGTGAAGAAAGGTTTGTTCTAGTCCTTTTAGTGATTTTGTGCCACGGCTAACAAAAGGCGCCAGTTCCGCCCAAAGCCAAAGGAAAGCGTGGCCGAGAAACTGTCAAACCCATTTCTGGTCTTGATGTGGATGCTCTACTGGGCGAAGAGGAGAAGGGCGACATTAGCCCTGATAACGCAGTACCCGAGTTCAAGCAGATGCTTGCTGCAACCGAGGAGCTTTCTCAAATCGAAGAGGCAGCAAAACAGATGGGCACAATCATCTCTACGTTTGTCACGGAGAGCTTCGGCGATGCCAAATATCAGCGTGCTCTGGAATGCCTTGGCGTTATGAGGGAGGAACTCATCAACCTTGAAGAACCAGGCCTATACAACACTTTCATGCAAGACATGAAGAAGCAGCTCATCTCCGGGGCACTTGGAGGCGACAGACGAGACTTCTGGTTTAAGGTCCGATGGGGTCGCCTTGGTCTCATTGATAAGCAGCAGTCTGAGGTGTCTGACGTATCACAAGAAGATGCAGATGAGGTAAGTTCTTGGAATCAGACATGGTAATGTGTACTGACATTGAACAGTTCTACAAATTAAAGTAACGCAGTCTTGTAATGGGCAATGCATCTGTTGTTTGTAAAAGGAGTGGGCGTTTGTGTACCAACATAGTGATTGGCTGGTATGAAGTTTATCCTTCTCATGTAACGGGCCGTGTGCAAGCAGTGGCATTTCATCTGCCATCTGCCTACAGCGGGAGTAACGATTTTCTGTTTGACTCAGCAAACCCTTCCATTTACTTTTAATACCTAGGTACCTTTTCGCAGTGAATCATAGGGTACAGGGCGTTATTCTACTCGCCAAAATTGAACGGTGCTTTTCGCTGCCTTTTTTGTTTACCCCTTCGTATCTCCTTCCTTCTAACGCCACCGTCTTTCAACCATCCACCACGATCCATCTTCTCAACTCAGCACCACCACCGTCTCTCCATTTCCATCTCACAACAACATTCTTTAACACTGCTCCTCTAGTTGAACTCTCACCATTGCTTCTTTGCCTTTGGATTTCATTACTTCTATTTTTATCCGACATGTCGGCCCTCGATGCCCAGCTGGCCAAATTGCAGCAACTTCTACGCAACGGTGTAAAGCTGGAGGAGAGACCCAGAGACGAAGAAGACTGCAACGAAACTTCAGACAACTCAGTCGGTGAAGGAGCTGACAACAACTACGGCGGGATGATGGAGCGTCAGAGACAAGCTACCAGAGAACAGATTTCTCAAACTGTTCAGCAACAAGAGACCAATACTTTTGCTGCCAGACGGCGCGAACTTGCCGAGAAGAAGGCAAAGGCATTTGATAACTCCAAGTTTCGCATCTGCCAGGCGGTCTCTAAGGATTTCACTTTCTGCCCATTCAAAGTTGTGATCTCGTATCCTGAACGCTTCGTGGGCAAGGCCAACAAGCCTCGTGTACGTATTACAGTTTTAGCATCTCTCCACTAGCTCACCATTCTCCAGACAAAGCCTTTTTTTACCAGGATCCTCTTTGAGAAAACATGGGACTTGTAGGTCAATCTGACCAATGTTATGTATAGTGCTAACTTGGCAAGCTTCTATCTCCATGATCCAGAGGAGCCGGCTAGAGACCCCTACCTTTTGATTCCAACAGCTCAGTTCGAAGTCTTCCTTGAAGAAATCAACCTTGAGCTTGATACTTCTCTCAAGATCCCCCCAGGTGTGAACATGGAAAAGTTCTACCTCAAATTCGGCGAACATGGTACCCCACGCCCTCGATACTTGAAGCGATCGGAAGAAGAGACGTCTCTTGATGCTCGACCATGGCCCGCTATCGACCAAGATGACATCAAAGGCTTCAAGGCGGCAACCCCAAAACAGCAACTGGCCTGGAAAGCAAAGTTTCGAATTGTCAAGTCCGGGTTTCCACCCAGAAACAGGGCAGATCCTGACAAGGCTGCAAGAAAGAAGAGTCACCGAGAGCGAATGCTTCGCAACACTCAGAGGTGTCTTGGTCTTCTGGGAGATCCCGATGGCTATGACGTTGTTTTCATTTGCGTCGATGTTGAGGCCATTGAAAGAAGGCCCAACCCCGTCTCTGAAATTGGTATCGCCATCCTCGACACACGAGACACCAAAGGCGTCGATCCTAAGATTGTCGGCCGTGGCTGGTGGCCTCTGATTAAGACTCATCATCTTCGAGTCTATGAGTTTGCTGGTTTGAGAAACTATCAGTTCGTCAAGGGATGTCCTGACGATTTTGACTTTGGGTAAGGACGTTGTCTTCAAACTCCAACAAGTTACTAACTGCAACACAGGACGAGCACATTCCCAACAAATGCAACAGTGGCAGACTCCATCATGGAAATTTTCACCCCGTGGCTTAACGATCAACGAAACATCGTCGTCGTCGGACATGATGTGAAACAGGACATCGCCTACTTCACTGAACTGGGCCTGGACCTTAGATTCCTCGGAGGGCTGGCAGAACCGGTGGACACTCAGGACATTCACCAAGCCTGGCGTGGTTCAACAAATGGACGAAGTCTCGGTGCTGTACTAAACGATCTTGATATTGCCCACAAGCACCTGCACAATGCAGGAAACGACGCGCACTACACACTCTGTGCAATGCTTGGTATTGCGCTGGAAGACATTCGGAAGGAAGAGGAGTTGAGCAATAAGATGCTCAACAAGGTTGACTGAAGGATATTTTCGAAGCTGGGAGGAATGGAAAGCATGCATCCCGCAAACGCAGGTGATTAACTTGGCAATTCCCAGAACGAAATAGGATCTGAAAGGGGGTGGATGCATTTCGAGGCTTATGTAAAGTAGCACAAGAACAAAAACCGGAGTGAGAAGAGAACGGGGCTTTAGGACCCTTTATTCATACAGCGTCGAGCCTTGATAGCTTTTAACAAAGGCATATATACCTTCACCTGGCTCCAAAGAGCTTCCTCTAAACCCAACAAACGCCATCGCTATGGAAACAAGTAGTGTACAATATACACACGCGGCCAGACGCCCACGCTCAGCCCCAGTCATTGATGATCTGATAACGGCTTTGGTAACAGGTTCTTGACTCGAATACCGGACTTGGGGGAGTAGTTTTCATGATCGTAATTAACTGTTCTTGTCCAAGAACTCTTTGGCCTCGTTTACTTTGGTCGCAAGGTAGGGGCTGCCGCCTCGATCGGGATGGTTAAGAAGCATGAGAGTTCGATGAGCCTTTCGGACCTTGTCCTTAGTAACAGCTCGCTCGCTGGGAGATGTAAGTGGGCTGAGTATGAGAAGAAGTGGATTACGACGAACTTGAGAGACAGGATTAGAGTAGCCTCCTTCTTGGTCATCTTGGGCTCAAAACCACCCTTGTAGAAAGCCTTGCCCATGGCTCCAACGCCGCCTCGAGATCGCCTCCATGCGACAAGTCCAGCCCGGCCCTGTAAGAGATATTAGTACCCGGAGTCACTGCCTGGGATCACTGCAAACATACCAAAAAGGCCGCGACGGCAGCACCGGCACCTATAGCCATAACAGAAGCCATTTTGTAGAGCGATTGCGATTGACAATAAGTTCAGTGACGCAGAGTTAGTCGGAACTTGAGATCGGGGGCCACTTGATTTTTCCAGCCGGCGCGGACCGGAGGTCGAGGGGCGCGGGGACAAAAGTTTGTCCGGGGTGCAAAACTGTTATCGATAAGGCAGTTTGAGCAAAAAGTTTTTTGATTGACGGCGGAAAAGAGAAGGCTGTTCAAACCAGTGGGGTGGAAGTTGAATTGAAGTTGTTTTGGTCTTTCAGACCACCACCCAGGCAAAATGAGGTATGTCTTTATTGCTGAAGGGCTCTATATCGGATGCTCTTTCTTGCAGAGGTAGAATGCTTGGAGTTCGTCCTCTGCGAGCGCGAGCATCTGTCATATAGCGACTCAAGCTCTACCATGAACTACAGCTAACAAAATGCTTCAGAATCGAAACTTGTTACTTTTGCAGTCGCCCTGCTTATCCCAGCAAGGGTATCACCTTTGTGCGAAACGATGCCAGAGTCTTTCGCTTCTGTCGCAGCAAATGCCACAAGAACGTACGTCTACAAGTCTCAACTTACCAAAGACCTCGCCGCTGATACAGTTTCACAGTTCAAGATGAAGCGTAACCCTCGCAAGCTGAAGTGGACAAAGGCTTTCCGCAAGGCCGCCGGCAAGGAGATGACTGTCGACTCAACACTGCAGTTCGCCGCCCGCCGCAACGTTCCCGTTCGCTACGACCGAGACCTCATGGCCAAGACCCTCAAGGCCATGGAGCGTGTGTCCGAGATCCGCCAACGCCGTGAGCGCGTCTTCTACAAGAAGCGCATGGCTGGTAAGCGTGAGCGTGAGCTCGCCCTCGCCCGCAAGCTGGTCGCTGAGAACGAGCATCTCCTGCCCCGCATGCGCGGCAGCGAGAAGAAGCGCCTGCGCGACTTAGGCATGACCGAGGAGGAGATCGAGGAGATGGAGCCTGACCGCGAGAAGACCAAGGCCTTTGGTGGCGAGAAGAAGAGGGTCGCCATTGCGCTTGAGGTTGACGACGATGAGGATGAGGATGAGGATGAAGAGGGCGACAGCGGCATGTTCGACGATGAGGACGATGAGGACGAGGACGGTGATGAGGATGATGAGATGGATGATATCGATATGGATGCCGATTGAGTGGGAAAAGTCATGGGGGAAAGAATCTGAAAGAGAAAAGGTTTACATGGCAGAGACAGCGAGAGGTCTACGAGACAGGGCGTTATGGGTGTTTTTGATTCGAAGGCATACCACGGCGTTGGGATACTATAGAAAAGCCATTTTTCTTCGACATGAGTTACACACCGACACCAATTTATTTGCGATGTGACTTTGGCGGGAATGATTGATGTTCCAGTATCCCAAGCCCAAAAAGCCCAAGTTGTTCTTTATCGTTGTCGCTCTACACACTGTTGACCAAACACTGTTGGCTCCGAAGCTTTTCAGATGGGAATAGAATGATTGGATGGTTATTTTATCAAGACCAACAGTTGAGGAGAAAACAGCTGTTAAGCCGTAAACATGCGGGGAACTAGTTTAGGAAGACAATGAAGATCAAAATGAGATCTCATGACCCATGCCAAATGAGGTGATTGGAATAAAGTGCCGTCTGATAGGACGACGTAAGCAGAACTCTGAGCGTCGCAGTTGCAAGGAGAAGCCTAGCAGAGGCCCTAGACAGACTCTCATGGCGGGCTGAAAGGCCGTGTTTTACTTTGCTGGGTTAGTAGCCTGCTTTGCCGGCTGACGATCTCTTATCGAGCCGCTGCATGTCTTAGGCAAAAGGCTTTAATTCGTAACTGGGAGGTGTCCGACCGACTCAAGGGTCCAATTCTTTCTGCCCTTTGTGTCTTCCTTGGTTTTATCTCTACATCTTTTCTCTTCTTTGATTTTTGCGTTTGCGAGTAGTGTTTTGTATTCTTGATTTGCTTGAAGCGAGTAATCTTGATCGATCTGACCGTGCTCTGGCTGGTTTGTTACTATGAGTGAAAAGGCGACCGTAGAGGCAACGCCTCTCCTACGAGGACGACTTCAGCAACGACCACGAAAGTCACATTATTCCACCATATTAGGCCTTTTGGCTGCTGTTTGTCTTATCACATTCTTCCACCGCCGACCTTATCCTTACCCAGTGAACATCGAAGATCCAGCAGAAAAGCCATGGACTTGGAGCGATGTAAGCACACATACACCATGGATAAGAAATTCAAAAGATAGACTAACAAAGATACTAGGTCAAGCCAAGCCGAAAACTCCATTGGGAACCGTGCTACGAAAAATTTGAGTGTGCAAGACTTGACGTTAGCAATTCACCACACCTATCCTGCTGGTGTGTATATGCTGACTTGGACATAGGTCCCAATGGACTGGCTTGCACCCTCGGATGATAAGAGAGTTGTCCTTGGTGTTATCAAGCTACCGGCCAAGACAAATAGCAACCCTGTTTCTCCGCTCTTTGTGAACCCTGGAGTATGATCTCTCTGTGCCTGAAGCTTCAGGAGCTGACTTATGGACGTAGGGACCTGGCGGATCGGGAGTTAACTTTGTAAGAAAAGAGGGACATATCCTGCAAGCAGCTGTTGGTGACAACCATGTAAGTTGAAAAGTCGGACACTCTGACCAAGCTGTATGCTCACAATTCCAGGACGTTATCAGCTTCGACCCCCGTGGAGGTGAGTTAACCCAGTCCTTATCAAGCACCACTGCATCATCTAACACTTCATAGTCGGCGTCTCTACACCTCGAGTTGAATGCTGGGGCTCTTCTCAAAAGAGGAAGCTATGGAGTCTTCAAGACACACCCGTTGCCGACGAACACCCAGGTCTTATCTACGATGCCTATGCCCGAGCATCTGCCTACTCCGGAACTTGCGAGCAGGCCATGGAGGAAACTGGTCTTATGCAGTTCCTCGGTAGTGCATCCATTGCTCGCGACATGTTGGAGATTCTTGACAAGACAGGCCATGAGAAGCTACGGTACTGGGGATTCAGTTATGGCACTATTCTTGGTGGCGTTTTTGCTGGACTATACCCTGAGCGTGTCGAGAGACTGGTCAGCGACGGTAAGTTTACATGTACATACCATTGTAGTTCTGACTGACTTGGTCCAGGAAATGTCGACTATCACGACTGGTTCAACTTGGATCACGGTAACTTTGTCTCTGACACAGACACGATCTTCGACGGCTTCGATAAAGCCTGCCATAAATCCGGACCCCTGAAATGTGCTTTTTATGCAGACTCACCAAAAGCCATTGAGGAACGTCGGAGCAATCTCCTCGCCAGTCTCAAAAAGTCGCCCGTTCTCGTTCCAGCTTGGACTCATGATTCCGGCCCCGAACTACCTCTCCTCATCACCTATTCCCATCTACAACGCCTTATCCAAACATCGATTTATTCTCCGCTGAAAAAGTTCCCTCAACTTGCTCGCGTGTTCGCTTCTTTAGAAAAGGGTGACGGAATCCCCTACTATGAGATGATTATGGAGGGTAAAAACAAGAGCCTCAACGGAGATATGTGCGAGCTGGGAGAAACTCCTGCAACTATGCCCCTTGAGACCCCTATGGAGCTCGACGCTTTCCCTGCTATTATGTGTCTGGACTCCAAGCCTGTGACAGAAACACCGCAGGAGATTGCAGACTATTTCGACAGAATCACACACAAGAGTCGTTGGGCGGGAGCAGTCAACTCCAATTTCCGTGTGTCCTGTGTGGGAAGAAAGACAAGACCAAAGTGGAAGTTCACAGATGGTGAATCACCCCCAATACCCATGATATGAGATATGAGACTAACTTCGAGAAGCCGATTTCAGGGGTGATACTGCCCATCCGATTCTGTACATTGGCAATATGGCAGATAATGTGACGCCTCTGCAGAGTGCGTTTAACAACTCTGCCAAGTTCCCCAGCTCAGTTGTTCTCAAGCAGAACTCCTACGGTGTAAGCCTCCTCCTATTCCTGTGCCACTCTGTCTAACTTGAGCCAAAGCATTGTTCGTTGGCGGCGCCCTCAGCATGCTCCCTTACCTATATACGAGAATACTTCCAGAAGGGCACATTGCCCCCTGCTGGTGCCGAGTGTGATTCCGATTATGATCTTTTCGAGATGCCGGGGTTGGGAGAAGAGGTGGCTGGTTTGGATGAGCTCAGCTCGATTGCTTTCAAGCTGTCAAGAGAGGTTGAGCTTCCCAAGGCCTTCTGAGAAGGCAAAGGTTTCCTTGTCCCCAGACTTACGAACCTCGGGAAGGTTTAGTGAGACGAGATGAAGCATTAGTCTAATCGAGCGGAGAGCTGCAGACATGACTACAGCGTTATAAAGACACAAGATATGAAAAAATGAATTAACTAGCAAAATGAATCAATATGGCCCCAAGCATTCTAATCCAATTTCCCGGGCCGTCCCACTGCCATTAGCAAGCCTCATTGTTCGTTATGCTTAACATGATGTCCGTGATGAGCCTTTTCAGGCATCTTTAGACCCTGATCAACCTCCTCCTTCACCTTCTTGGCTAATTGCTCACCCCTTAATCTTTCTTCTTCTCTCATCCTTTCCTCCTCTTCAAACGAAATAGCATGCTTCCAGTTTCCAGCTCCACCTCTGCCACCAAGTCCTCCCCTCGCAACGTGATTCTTCTTGAGACTTGCATTCACAGCAGCCGCTGTCTTCTGAGCCATCTCGTCTTGCTCTTTAGCATCTGGTAGTTCCTCTGGATTGACGTAGTTGCCGAAGCCACCACGGCCAGCTCGTGATGGGCCGTTGACGGATGGCTGGACTTCTTCCGTGGCTAGGTTCTGTGCTTCAAGATCGGCCTGAGAGTGTGAGATACTGAGTAGATGATTGATCAAGGTCAGCTTACGTTGGCGGCATCTTCAGGTTTGCTTGATACAAAATTCCCGGCACCGCCTCGGCCGACTTTGCGATATACGTCCTGATCAGGCATGTTGTGATGTTGGTTATATGGTGTGAGGCCTAGATACGCGTGTTGATTGCACGTCAACTATGTCGTCGCAGTAACAACAGATTTGACTTTTACCCTCCAAAAGAAAATGAAAAGTACAGAAAAAATATTTCCCTCACTCTTTAAGTCTCACAAATTATTAAAATACAGTCGTCACTACGCCACTGGCCAGCGTGGGGGGTGGTGGACTTGTAAGGCAGTGTCTGGCCTGGTCGTCTGTTACAAGAAGTGTCACACATCGCTCGCTATCTTGACTCTGTTTTCCGTGTGTCAACGCATTTGGACATGGGAAAGGCTCCAGCGCCCGCCGGAAATCGAAACTAACGTTGTTTTAATTAATCTGGGGTACATGAGCTAGGCTGTAGATCTTGCGGCGCGGCTATGTTCCGTGTGCTGTGTGTGACTTTGCCTTCAATGCAGGCAGCAAACAAGAAAGAAATAATTATCATTTGTTTTTAGGATATGGTTATCTTTGCTGACATTAGATGTCTCTGAAAAAGCTTCTGATTTCGTTGCTGTGGCTCATGGCCGAGTTGATGTCATGATCGGCGTCTCTTCAGGAACACGGCAGATACCAGGTATGAAGGCTTCTGCCACAGAAGATGAAGTTTCGCTGTTGCCGACTAAGAATTCAAGATGACCAAAGAGCAAAATTCTCTACAGGTCAGTCACTGAAGCGCAGAAGCTTCTTACAATACCCTCACGACTTCACAAGACAAAAAGGTGCTCTTGCAATTCGAAACTAGGACTCCGATATCGGCAATGACTGTTCTTCACCAATTTATGACTACACTTGCGAAACTACAGGCCATAGATCTTATTTGTTGACGAAACTTGCGGTGAATTGCAAATGATAACCTCTTTGAGCTCATATCTTGAGATTAGCACGCCATGACTTACTTGGATTTGCATTTCAGGGCAATACGCGGCCTTCGTTCATAGAATCCAGCCAAGCCTCATCAATAACCTAACTTGCAGCCCACAATAGTCAAGCCACAGAGCTTAACTAGAAAGAAGAAGGCGGAAAAAAGGTTATCACGTTTCTGGAATAAGGATCAAGGAACCAAGGAATTCGGGTACCCGTCGTAGGGCTCATCGTAGGGCTCGTCGCCGAGGCAGGGTCCCCTCCCAACATTCCTTCGTCCCATGTTCTAAACCTGAGTCCGATAAGCATTGCTGATCTACGGGAGCTGGCAGACTAGACCATGGCATTGGGAACGTCTGTAGCAGTTGATGGCTGATCGCAGTGATGGGAATCCTTGCCATGTCTTCGTGTTGGGTCGGATGTGAGGGAGATTCCAAAGCACAATGAAATGATACCACGTGGACGGAGCTTCCATGTCATGCAGGAACAGCTCAGGAACATAATAAGAGGTCGACGACACCCAACACGCTTACGTTGCTCTTGATTCTTGAAACATGTCAAGTAGCATCGTCTACTAGGCATCCTTCAAACACTCTTTTGTCGGTGTTCCAGCAGACTGAGGCATGAATTTCCCCATTCTTATCAAGACGGATACTGAGAGGAATATCCACATTCTCATTAGAATCCCTGCGGTGATGCAAGTGTAAAGCACACACCACCCCTGTGTGTATTGTCGACGCTATATGTGCCAGTCCCGCTCAACCATATCCATATCAGCGGCCGCGTCGTGTTAGAGGGGTAACAGTAGGTAAATCCAGTGAAGGCGGGGAAAGCCTCGGCGACAGTACAGGACAGCAAATAGGTTCTCACGGAGACGGAGCTTCGGGCTTCACTGCCGCTCTGAACCGATAGCAATAGGCGGCATCATAATCTAAGTGCCGGTGGTACGAGTTAAGCCGCGGTACTGTATGTGCTGTAGTCCGTGACCGCCGTACCGTACGGCACCAAGTACGCAGAGTTCCCTTACATATGAGTGGATTCAAAGGTCCGAATAGGTTTATATCCTGGGTCGTCTACGTCGTTGTCGTTGCAGCTCATACCTATTATACCATCCATGAATAACCCGGTACCATCCACTTGACTTGCACCACGCTCATTGTTGCCCTGCAGACCAAGGGTCGTGACCGAACATTCCATTTGCATCGAACCCTTTTGGATTAGTGTTAGGTCTTCTGCCCCCGGGGAAGAGGTTATTGTTGGGTTGGTGAACTGGACTGAACTGCGTGTTTCTGGCGTATCACAAACCCACCCGGCCCCAGCTGTCATGAAGCCGGCTAAGCCTCTTGAGTAGAACCATACTCTAATAGGGAAAAGCCTATGAACCGGGCAGCGGGTCTTGGGAGAGCCGGTCTTTGTGTGGTGCTGGTGCTTGTGCCTTATCAAGCACCCCGGATCGCCATAGTGCAGGCGGCTGGCCAGTGATTTGCATTGCAGAACAGACATCCAGGACAGGAGGGAGCACTGGTCTCTGGCCATTGTTGCGCTACAATGCACTCAGATGCAATGCACTGTACTGTACAGCAGGCATTCTCGACGCCCTCGTGCCAATGTCTCAGAGTTGGCCAATGACCGGCATACTCGCACGGCAGTGAGGGAGTTTTTCTGTTCAATCCTTTGCTAGCCAAGCCAGGATCGAAGATCGAGATTGGTAAACTGTGGAGGAATGTTTGCTGAGTCTGATTGGCTTTGTCAAGGTAAGCTCAGAAGCTCCCAATGCGTCCCAGAATTCCACTCTGAGGCTCTGATGGAGTCTAGGGAGTCTTTGCTTTGAGGAGTCCATCTTTTTTTTCCCACACCAGTTTGAGCATGTGTTTTTTTATGCATTGTGTTTGTTGTTCGCATTCATGTCAGAGTTACATCATATGTCAGAAAAAAATCTAAAAGTCAATGAGCAATCGCCATGAGGAGAGAAAGACAAGAATCCAGGGCATGATGACCTTCGACAAGGGTTCCATGACCAGGGGAGACCATTTGATGGCGTCATTGTATCACAAACTTGAAATAGGGAAAATAGTTGAAATCTTGCTACCAATTCTCAAAGCTACTTCGGCATTGTTTGTGTAAGAAAGACACTGTACAAAGTCACCGAGGAATAATGTGACCATTCCAACCGATGCTCTAGATCATTAGCTCCATGTGTCAAAGCCCAATCGTTGCAAAAAAAATTGGCATTGGAGGGCATAGCTTCATTGGCAATTTTTTTCCGACGTGAGCTGGGATTCAAATTGATCGTCAAAGCCCTATCTCAAGAGAGTAGTGGTCTCGGAGGATAGTCAGGAACGTGTTGTAAATCTTGAGTCCTAAAAATGGACTTTGTGCCTTGGTTTGCTTTTGATCGAGTCAACATTCCATTCGTGTCTTGCAAAATTAATCAAGAAAGGAGAGATCTCGATAGGCTAGACTAAGAAACCCGGCAGTCCAACATTTGAGGTTACACCTTCAACAACTATCATCAGTACTGTGCGTACTAGATGTGTACATATGTATGTGCACAACAGGAATAGGTAGACATGTCAAGGTTTCTTCCCCACGATGCGATGCCTCCTCTTGATGGTCCTTGTGACCAGCAATCGGTAGGCTTGTCAGGTGAGACCGGTCAATCATCCAGGACAGGTTTAGAACATAGACGGGATGATCTTAGCCATTTGAGGGGCAACGAACAAAGTGTACAGTACATATCTCTGCAATCCTGGCTGAATATCACGAACCTATCGAGCTGCGAATGTGAAATGCAACTGCGGCTAGAGAGAGCTCTAGGATTCGACGATACGTGCAGCTAATTGCCGCAAAGCATTGGCCATTGGGACACTTCAACCGCTTCTCCTCTGAGGTATCATCATCCATCGCTCTCGGGCTGTTTGTTACGTTGGCATATACACACCCGCATCCATTTTGCCTCTGTTCCCTTATTATTACGTGAGAATCTGGTTGATCTGGCTTCTTTCTTCAAGAGGTCAACACCAATCGAAAAGAGGCACAGTGCATTGCGTGTCGTCAAAGAGACCATACCTCATGCAACTGAGCAATAAGCCGAATGACTTCTTTTCCCCTGCTGAGCACGGTTCCCTTTTCAGCTCTCCTCTCTAGGGGAGGAAAGAAAACAAGGGACCTTGATCCTAAATGACAAAAAGACTTAGGGTGATATAGCCTAAGCTTAGGATGGCTTTTGCTAAGTTTATTTTGACAGCCCACAGTAAGGTTCGCAGTTTTCTTGCCTCCCGAGGCCTCTCTAATAATTAATTAGTGATGCCTGGAGCCTCCGCGCTGCGCCTTAGTTGCGCTCTAGAGGCTAAAGATTGCGGTGGCAGCTAAATTCAG